AAAACACCATAATATAAATAATATGATACTGCGTGTGCACATGTCAAAAGGGCCTCCACCTCAGCATATAGTTGAGCATTCCTGCCCAACGCTGATTTTCAGGTGGCACCCTGCAGTGACTCACGGACGGCGGTACCGCCCCTCAATAAGGAAAAGAAAATAGATTTAAATATGAGATTAAATAGATAATATAAATTCTGCAGACTATGTGTGCATATGTGTATGCGTGCGTATGTGTGTGAAAAGTTGTGATTAGAAAAATGTATAGATGTATATGTATATTTGTTTTTTGCCCCACACTACGATTTTCTCCTGCGTCGTAGGTGCGTTTACAAACATACAATATCACATACACGTCACACCCAGACCCGAAACAACAATTTGTGGATCACACAAAGTGTTGTTCCGTGCGGGAATCGAACCCGCGACACGTTGCACAGCAGCCGGTTGCCCAGCCACCGACCTAACTGTGCAGTCGTATCGTATTTAATTCTTTGTGCGTCGGATAGTCTATTTATCGAGGAAGGGTTTAAGGTATGAAACATCATGCTATCGATAGCAACTCCGAAGCTAACTGACTGGTGCTGAAAATCAGAGCTGTGGACTCGAGCCTTCGTGCCTTTGCCACAGCATTAAGCTAAGCTCCGGCCTTTAGCGCTACGACGTAGTATGGACTTCTTTTTGTCTGTACCTGTGTTTCTGTCTACATGTAATTGTGGGACAGCCATGCTTCGGCACGAATGGGCCGGCTCGACCGGAGTGATACCACGACGTCACAGAAAACCATAGTGAAACAACGCTTGCGTTGTGTTTCGTCGTATGAGTGAGGTTACCGGAGGCCCAATTACTTCATCCTTCCCCAAGCCCTGAATCTCCAACAATCCTCAAACTCATAATCCCCAAAAGGCCAGTAACGCACTTGTAACGGGTCTCGTGTTCCAGGTGTCCATGGGCAACGCTAATTGCTTACCATCAGGTGATCTGACTGCTCTTTTATCGGTTTATCCCATAAAAAAATGTGTCGTGGCATAATAAACGGTTTTTCTTTATTTCTTTCTTTCAGCCGGTGAAACCGCAAGAGAATAGGTAGCTTGTTAGGTATTAAGTCTCATGGTAACGTCTTTTAATGCCCCAATGAGGAGGCAGAGGTAGACATTTAAAAATTGTCACCGTTGTAAAATTGTCTTAGAGAATCCCGTATAATGAGGGGTGCCAAAAACCGGGCACAAGACCAAACTCCGCGCTACTACTGGGAAATCATCGATAAACCCAAAAACCCCAATAAAGCTTTACCCGACCAAGGAATCGTTCCCGGAACTTCTTGTCCGCTAGTTGCATAAGGTAGTTCACAACTTAAACCAAAATAAAAAAAAATTCGCCCATATACATAGAACTTGAAAACAAATATATCACAAACAAAAACAGCAACCCTTCTAAGTCATAGACAATACTCGTTATTAATCACCTCCCTATATTCTCGTTTTGCTCAACGATCGCGTTTAGTTTCGTCACTCATCCCCAACGCGATGTAGGTGGGGTCGTCGACCCGGGAGACAGGACAGCGGGCAGATATTTTGCAAATACAAGGGGTAACTGTAGCTAGTTTCAAACTTGTATTTTTTGGAATATTTAATGTAATATGATAAATGGGAAGAGTATATGTTTGTTTGTCTTTTCTTGAACATCGTATAAGAGTGATTTAGAGACAGGAGTGAAATATATTTTGACTTTTTTTAATTTCAATAGAGTTGAGTAAAACAAAAATTTTGTTTGAGCATATTTGGAACTAAAATCCGTTAGGACAATTTCTTTCAATAAAAATATGTATGTGGCATAAATCTATTATGTGCTATGTAAAATATCTGGTCATATTTTAATAACATTTCGATTTTTCCCTAAACTTTTCCACGTAAGCGGAATAGAATAATACTTATCTCTGTTCTTTTCCAAGCAAGAAAAGTGATAAAAAAGTTTTTTATCATTGTTTTACGTCTGTGAACTTTATCTTTACCAGCGATGGCGAGGTCGAATTAGAATTCTTACTATTTTTTGCTAGCATTATGTTTTAAATATTCTGGGCGCACTGTCGTTAAAATAAAGTAAAACGTGAAACAACAAAACGTTATTTTGCTAACACTATTATCTTGATTCAAATATTATCTTGGTGAGAGATAAAAACGAAATACTTGCGTATTAAGTAGGTACTTCTAAGTAATAATACAAGAATACTACCTACTTACAAAGAAAGTTGCATCAAAGTTGTAAATTATATACCTACATTCATCGACCACGAAATAATTTATTTAACGATAAATATAGCTACAGGATCAATAACTATTTTTTAAGAAATAATCCCAAAAGAAGAATTTACATGAATCTGTGCTACTGACACTGAATGAAGAACTATTGAGTAACTATAGAATGTAACCGTTTACGTAATCCCTTTTTATTTTATTTTAACTAGTCTGTAATAATTATTTTCTATTTGCTTTAGGAATAGCTTAAAATATTACTCGTCGTTAATTTTATTGCTATAACCACACTGCAGAAATAAGATTTTCAATGTACCTAATACATGAGGCTGTGTAAAGTAAATCATCAATTATTATATATGAAAATCACAAAGCCCACTCTCAATCAGAGGAACGAATCTCGAGTAAAGTTTTAAATGAGTGAATGATTCGTTCGGTCCCATTGACAGTTCGTAACAAACTGCTACCCGCCTCGCCTCTGACCCGAAAGCAAATTAAAGAAACTATTTGTCAGCGTGGACGTTTTCCTCACTTTACGGTGTCTTAATTTATCGAAATTGTGTGTATTGCAGTATAACTTTGCGTCATTCGGATTAAAAAAGTAGGTGTGTAGGTAGATCGTTAATTAATATTAACAGGGAAGTCATTGTTTAGTTATAGAGATTCCAAATAAATCTAAGTGGACATATAACCTAAGTAAGGTTTCATAACTTTGAATCTTCACCAAATAGTTATACCTGTTAGTGGATATTAAAACCGCGGTAAGTAATTAGCAATTTAACAATGAAAGCATTTCCAGCGAAGTAGAACGCTCACACGTAATAAATCAGACATGAAATATGTATTTGTAACGACTAGATTTTACGTGACATTTTTATTACCTCAAAGAAAGGTTCTCGAGTTCTATTATTTAGTGAATACTGTGAGGATGTAAGAAATGGACCCCACATCATGATCATACGAGATAAATTGCCAGATTCCTTCCTGATTTATAGCAGGACGGGGGCTTTCTTAAAAGTTTCCTGGGTGAATACGCGCATCTATCAAAGTTGGCGAACAAGATTATACCACTTAGCATTTCTTAATTTGTATAAAAGTCGGGATTTAGAAGTTTTCCGGGCAGATGTGATTAATTTATGCTAAGTATGAAAAATGTAAGCTTAAGTTCTGTCAAGTTTGTATAAAGAGTAAGACGGATACTAATGGTTAAAAAAACTAAGCTTATCGAAACAGTATCTATGTTTACTTCGATTACTGACGTTGCAAATAGTACTCATACTCTGTCATTAGTAAAACTACTATACTTAGCATTCCATTACTTACTGGACACGAGCTGTGTCCGCAGCCTGTTGCCAACTGCCCCCGAGCATCGAGGACTTGCCCTCTACTCCACACCACACCCTCAAACTGTGAGTGGGACACCAGTACACCCTATGGCTATAACCGATAGGAATAGGTACATTAGTTTCAGAGCGAGACAGAGACACATTTATTACGACAAAATTCTCAGTTAAAAAGAGATAGCGATAGCCTCATGGAGATGAAATGCGCAACTCGTAGGAGGGTAATTTTTGTGGAGCAGCTGTACGGATAAGTTCATTTTCAATAAAATAAAAGCTTTTCCGGTGGCGGCATGGCGTGCGCTTTTCTATTAGACGACAATTTTAACGTCTAGAATTTTGTAGAGGATATTAGGTTACTTGGAAAGCGATTTTATGTGATACTTTTATTTTGTATGGGATAAAGACTTGTACACTTATGATATTCCGTTTACTTTTTTTGTAAAGTAGGTAATAACAAAAAAAGTACGATACATAAAACTTTTATGTTACGATACGATGGACAACAGTTCTTATACCCGAAAAGTAGATTGGATGTATTGCTAAAAAAAGCCCAATTGTCGTTTTTATATAATTCCAGTAAATTATTTTAGTGTTAAGTACTTGCCTGTGCGTTAAATTACACGTATAAAAGAGGTGTATACTTATGAAATGAATACCTCTAAGGTATCTGTAATTAAAATATACCTACATTTTATGATACACTTACATAAACGAGATTGAAGTTGTATAATTTTTCCTACAAAATGGATAAATCTCAAACGAGGCGTTGGATATCAAATTTGCCTTCTGTTTCATCTCTTATTCAAATATTTGCATTTGCCTCCCTCGCTTGGAAATTCTAAATCGATTAGAAAAGACGCGACGTTTCGTCATTGAGATAATTAAATATTAACATGTGAGGCAACATTTTCATCTTACGTAAATGTTTACCTTCTCTAGCTGAATTTTGACATCACTTTTCTTTACTGTCATGTCATTGTATCTAATGCAATGACAGTAATTCACTACAATTTAAAAAAAGCGTTGGTGTAAACAATAGATTTTCGAATAACAACCTCCTTTAAATAAAATCTAATAATTACAAATGTTAGAAATGTTCGCAATTTGTGAAATGTAAATGAATATTATAGTAATTATATCGCACACTAATATACAATGGATTTCAATTTATTTGCCAATAATTAGCTTCGAATCTTAATTTGTTATAACATTGGCGGGAAATTTGGATGAATGTAAACAGATCGTGTTTTGTTTTTTTTTGTCAGCCACAAAAGTGAAAGCGTCGTTGGACCGAATCCGAGTCGTGATTCGGCCATCGATATTTACGTAAATTTAACGTAAATAATTTAGTTGTTAGTCGTGTACTGTTTGGTGCGGTAGTGACAATGATGGGGTTGTATTCTAGTGGGGCGCTGGGCGGTGTGGAGGTGCTGGATGGAGGGCTGGTGGGCGGCGAGCTGACGGCTCACGTGCTGAGCGCGCAGGCGGCCGCGCATGCCGCCGCCACGGCCGCCGCGGCCGCGCATCAACAACACCAGCAACAGCAAATTGCTGTGCAGCAAATCAGTGAGTATCTATTTGGATTCCTATTCTTCTTTCCTCATTGTATAACCTTAACACAAATTCGAAATAGTTCTTGGGACCCAAACAATAGGGAAAAACAAATGAATGCCTTCTAAGCCATTTTATGCATGTATTTTATGATGAATATTCTTGTATGCAGATTGTATTTCATTACACAAATATGCTCTAGAAGCATTAGTTTTCCTGTTTCATATGTTAGTTTTCATCTCTTGCAGTGCTTTACTTGAAGTTTTTAAAGTTTTTATCTGTTGTAATTGTATTTCATAGTGACATTAGAATTTTAAATAATGTTTGTAAATTTAGTAAGATATTTCTTTTGTTCTACTTTTGAGAAACTAAATAAAGGTTGCAGAAAGTTATGAAAGTCATAGCTAATATTCAAATTTAAAATTAGGTGATTGTTTTAAGTGGTGCTGTTCTAAAATAGTGAAACACTTGAAAGTAATAAGACTATAATAGAACAGAATCATTTATTTGCATTGAATGTAGGTACATAATAAGGTCTTACAAAGATATATTGTCCCTGGTACATTCTATCATCTGGCATACAAATATTTTTAAATTCTTAGAGCTATGAACATATTTTTATTGCCTTATATTTGTTGTTTTGAAAATAGAACATGTCACAAGACAATAACTTAGTATGTATTGAAACATACTCAAGCCATTGTAATATTTTATGAAGGAGCTACCAATTGTCTTGTCTTCGAATCCCTTTTTATTATTACTACTATTTTAATAATTAATACAAGGAGAATCAAAGACACCTCTTAATATTTATTTATATATATATATATCTATTTATACTTCACAAAACGCAACAGTGAATGGCGGACTGAATGCCTTAAGGCATTCTCTTACAGTCAACCATAGGGAAGTGCAGAGAAATGAAGTGGTTGATGCGAAGCCAGAACACAATTCAGAAAAAAAATTGTTATGTAATATGTATATATACTATACACATAATACCTATAGAATAAATATATTAATACAATATTTTATAAATCTGTATAGACATATACATACCATATAATATTGTTAACCAATCATATTTAAACCAAAATATTACACAATAATTGAGCTTAACAAACTTCATAACAACTCATTTCTTTTATCAATACCAACCTCCGAAACCCTACGCAAAGACCATCACAACATTGACCCTAGACCCCTATTTCCCAACAGAAACATCCCCGTCATCTGGGCGTTCCACCCCAGTGACGTCACAGGCTAATGGCACAGCCCCCGCACCCACGGGGAGCACCTCACCGTCTCCGAGCAAGCTATTTGTGGGCGGGCTCAGCTGGCAGACGAGCTCGGAGAAGCTTAGAGAGTATTTTGCCATGTTCGGACCAGTTACCGATGTGCTGATTATGAAAGATCCTGTGACACAGGTGAGTTTGTAGAGGGCTTGGTTTCATTACATGGTGCAAAGGTTTTGTCTTAGTGTTGTGTGGAAGACCAATTAGTATAATATATTTAACTAAAATTGAAAAAAAAAAACTTTTAACTCGTTGAGTACCGTCATTATAGACACAATTAAAGAGCAATAGGTTGCGGTCATCGGTGTCCTCGCGGTGTTTGACAGTTTAAAACTAACTAACGAATGTTTGTTGGCCAACTGTTGAGCTGATTATTTCACTGTCAGATAAATAGAGGTTTTTATACTAATTAACATGATCTTGAAACTACTTTATTTACAAATAGGTAATATAAACTTAAATAAAATGAATAATACCTAATACTTAACCTATATATCCCCAAACCGATCTCCACTAACTACATTATAGACCTTATTTCCAATGTTTAGAGTCTACTTTTGTATGAACAAATTTAGGGAATGATTTTCAACAATTTTCAATGTGTTAAGATACAGAATCAGAATCATTTCTTTGTTAAACATAGATAGTTTATATAATAAGGTCTTACATATAAAGATGGTCCACTATGTTTTGCCTTGATAGTATACAAATATATTATAGGTACATATATGTATACTAAAACCAATGGAAAAAAAATAATTATGATTTTTATTAATTTATTTGTTGATTTAAAATTGATAGGACCGTTTTGATTTTAAATTAACAAGAATAGGTACTTAGGTAATAGGTAGTAATTTTAATGTCTTTCTTAAATTCGTTTTAAATACTGAGCTATCAATTTTAACCGCTTGAATACCTGTATATGAAATTGGAAAGTGAGTTTGTTTGTTTGTTCGTTCTACTTTCACGCCGTAACTACTAAACCGATTACTTAGAATTTTCGCAGACGTAAAGTTAGAAGTCTGGATTAAATAATAGGGTACTTTTTATTCAGGAAAAATGTGATATTCTCGAGGGAAACCAAAAGTATTGGTATAGATGGCGCTGTATGTATTAGTATACGTCACATAGGCTACTTTTTAACCTTTTGTGACGCGAGTGAAGCCGCGGGTAAAAGCTAGTAGAAAATACATTAACTAAAAATCGCGGGTTACTCACGCGGTCGAAGTATAAAATTTAAGTCACAGTTAAATGCAAGTTCAGTTGTTTTTCTACCACATATACTGTCCACACAATACTAATACAAAATGTTTACATCCATCCATAATAATTATACTATTATTTGTAGATTTGAACTTATATTGTAAACAAGAATGGTCCTAGCAACATGCCATGCCTTCTATCTGTTGGAACTGTTTTCATGAATATTGAGAGACCTGGCTCTTGTGATACAGGGGTACCTAGTACAGGAGCCAGAGCTTCACTGTGTCTTCATGAAGCACTAATAAACGTTTTTATTTTTTTAAACTCCGCCTCCCGGTATAAAACATTATATCCGCAACTTCTAACAGACAAGAGGTTACATACAATAATGTTATGTAAGTTATGTACATAGGAAGAAAAATATAGTTTGCTAATATTGGTAATACAATACGTGGTGTTAAGGTACATTGTGAGCTCAGTTTTATTTTACCAGGAGGCATGCAAATATGAATTAACAGAGTATTTAAAAATTCAAATTAAATTATATAAAATAAAATCAATAATATTGAACAAGTGTGGGAAAGCCATGCTTCGGCACGAATGGCCGGCTCGAGCGGAGTGATACCACGGCAGAAAATCGACGTGAAGCAACGCTTGCGTTGTGTTTCGTCGTGTGAGTGAGGTTACCGGAGGCCCAATTACCCTCTCCTTCCCCAATCTCCCCAATTCCTCAATCCCCAACGATCGTCAAACTCCTGATCCCCAAAAGGCCAGTAATGCACTTGTACACTCTGGTGTTCCAGGTGTCCATGGGCGACGCCGATGGCTTACCATCAGGTGATCCGTCTGCTCGTTTACCGGCTTATTCCATAAAAAAATGTACCTACTCATTGAATTGAATACAGAAATTAAAATACTTATTACATTCAAGTCATATTAACAGAATATAGGTACAATCTCAAAAGATGTAGTTAAGAAATGTCGTAATAAAACAAAAAAAAACAATCAGCCGAACATAGTACCTCCTCCTTTTTTTGAAGTCGGTAAAAATAGATGAAATATCCAAGGTATGTAGTTAATAAAATATTATTCTATTCCATTGTCCATTAGAAAATCTGCAACATTGTAATATGCTTTGTCAACTAATAATTTTCACAAATTGTTTTTTAATAATAACATACTCAAATCTCTCCAGGATTGAGGTAATTTATTAAAGATTTTGTTACATGCACCTCTGTCTATCCCTTCGGGGATAAAAAGGCATAATGTTATGTTAAAAACATTTAATAACTGAGTTAATTCAACACAAAATCGATGCTAAGCGGTAATGCCGGATCGAAAGCGTGACGAAGGCGATTTTTTACGAGACATGAGATTTTCGACACTCAGCTATTGCTGTTGTCGTCAGCATCTAACTGTAGGTACTTTATTGTACCCGTTGACTTTCTATAAGTCAGTAGGCGTTCCATAAAGATTCTATTACAGTTACAAGTCCTACTCTTGTGTATAGAGACTAAGGAATAATGATAATAGTGGTCGATAAAGCTACTGTGATTGCACTAATTTTCTAACTAACTAATTAACCCCTTCCCATTCTCCCCAATCTCTGAATCCCAAACAATACTCGAATTCCTAGTCCACAAACGGCTAGTAACGAACTTGTAACGCCTCTGGTGTTCCGGGTGTCCATGGGCGACGCCGATTGCTTACCGTCAGGTGATCCGTCTGCTCGTTTATCGGCTTATCCCAAAAAAATCCTTACTTCTGCTTTTATTAGTAGATACGGATCTTCTTTAGGGTTACTGTAGGTCTTTCTGAACCTTTGTCCTTGTGTAAGGCGGGACTGAGTGCCAAATTCTTATTGCCTGACAACACTCCGTTTCTACTCGTGCTTCAACCCGGAGCCCCGGTAACCGGCATGGTTTTCCGCATATTCTGGGCAGGCAAGACAGGCCACATGTGCGAAACTGCAGTAGAATATGATTCCCATGCCCTCTTGCGAGGCGACTCGTGACACACGTAAAACCGAGATGGGTTTAAGGCTAAGGAGTCACGGCGCGATTTTCTCCCGCGCCCGCAGCCAAAGAGCAATCAAAGAACATTTCACGGCGCGTTTTACGCGGCCGTGATCCCGCAGCTGCGGCGGGTTGGACCCACGCTCTCTGCGATGGGTTGGTGGGCGATCCTAATAGGAGGGCTGGTCTACAACTCAACTGATTGTTTAACCACCCGTCTTGCGATAATCAACCGCAAAGTTTACGGGCGATAATCTCAACGGCGGCGGCTGCAGGACCGCAGAAAACTATGGTAGTGCTAGTCAGTAAGAATCTGACACAGTCCGGGTCCTTCTTCCCCAGAATAGCTTCCACCATAAGGTCTTAAAAACCATTATTCATAAAAGCCTAAGTTCTCCTTCCGGGAATACCAAAACGTGATTTTATACCGAACAACAAAACCCACAATAATGACACCGCAAAATATTAGGTATCACCAAAAATGTTCATTGACACGACGGGTGATTGATCGCGCGCTGAATTAAGCAAAAACTATTCGCAATCTGTCGTTGCGTAATGATATCGTGATAATATTTATAGATTTCATGAAATTTATAGCCTTTTTTAAAGTGATTACATTATCTGATTCTGAATGCCTTTGGAACAGTGGTCGTAGGATTGACTGTTGTGCACGATGTTATAGGTACCTTATGGGGCCATCCCCATGGGCTGACAACTTAAGAGATTTTTAATGAAATTCCTTGACAATTTTAACTACTTCTTCTAAAGAGTTTTATTAATTTGTTAGAAAAAGCAAGGTATTTGATTGTATATAAAATATGTAAATATAAATGAATAATTAACTCCATGATAGTATGATATTTATAATTTTATACCTATTCTAAGGCATGTTGCTAAGACCAATAACAAAACGTTTTGCTTAGTCGATAACTTTATTAAATTACGTTTTATTAATTTTGACCTAAAAAGAACATTAGTAAGTTGTAAGTAACAATAAAACAATGGTGAGTTTTATTCAAAAACACTGACTTACATGGTGAACCAGCGACGCGTTTGTAACTCTTCTAATAATAAGGGTATCCATGGGCGGCGCTGATTTGCCTCCCTGCTCGCAGCAGTTGGAAGCAGGAGTTGGAAAGGGGTGGTGTTTAGTCAGTTACGTACGAATATTGAAAGGGTACTCGTAAGTCGCGTTAAACATAGTTCTGTCATTACAAATCTATAAAAATGAAACCCGTTTCCCGTTGTCACGCCATAACTTGAGACCGGCTAGACCGATTTGGCTGTTTTTTTTTTGTTGTGCTTGTTATTGTCAGGAGAAGGTTCTTATGACAGTAAATAATCCTGAAAATCCTACGGGAACGGGAGAAAATGGGATTGTGCGTACGAAGTCGCGGGCAGATGCTAGTTCTTTATAAAATGACCATCTTTGGTACGACATTGAAGTAGGTACAACTTATTAGTTTAGTTATTACTTAAGCTTGTGCAATTAAAACTAAAAGGGTACGATGGGGTTGGCGTATCTACGTGGATATAAATCCCAAAAGATGAAATAGAATGTAAAAAGTACAAGTTAAAAATGAGTAGCCTTACAGTTCTGGCTTAAGAGTCTGACACGCTCCCTCGTCTGACCCAAGGCGGGAGAAAATAATGGATGATATTCAAAAAATATCGCGTTCAAAACCACCATGCTTAAGTTACTTACTTACTTAAAATGATGATTAATTTTATTCACAAAGTTATCGACTATAGTAAAACAAAAAAATTGAATAATGTATCATAATATAATTTAGTTATTAAGAATATAATAACGTCATTTTTTCAAGACAGCGGTAGGCCGAAGAAGGAGCAATATCGGTCAGTTTTAGTAATTTTGTATAGGTTGATTTGGTCTAGGTAGATATGTAGGTTCGTGTCGAGATACCAACCGGCCATATGCAAAAAAATGTACGTTTTTATTTTTTTACGTTGGCAACATCTTTTGTCCTAATTTTTTGTCTGGCAATGCATTTTGAATTGTGTTTAGTTATCTTGTTATTTTTGTCACACCTTCCTGTCCTTTTAATTCAATCAGTTGCACCCCCTCTATGTATGTCAACCAAGTGAAATTAGGATGCAGGTAAAAAATGAAGATTGATTCAGTACACATACAGTAGCCATTGGTGGTCTAAAGACGACTGAGTTACTTCGTTAAAAACATTTAGTACTAACACAATTTAGTATAAAGTCAAAGCATTTATTTCAATGAATCCTTTTAGGCACTTTTGAAACGTCAAAAAATGTCCGTCCGTCTGTCTGTCAATAAAGCTAGGCGTTCCAAAGTGTAGTTTCGAATGGAGAAGAACGACAAAGAAACTATCGTTACTCTTTAAAAAAAAACGTTTTTTACAGTCTCATTGGTACTTTATCTGACAATGGCTACTGTCTCTGTGCTGAAGTAATCTTTATTTTCTTACCTGGGCCTTTAGCCAAACGCCACTTTAGCGCTTGTACAGAGAGAGTAGAAAACTAAATGTATGGGGATGACACCGACAAGTGTCAAAATTTACGTCAATTCCATATAATTTGGTTGTCTATTCTACATGTAGACAAGCGCTAAATGGCATTTGGCTACACCTAGTGGGTACTAAATAACCTGTTTGATTGTTTACAACTTTATGCTAATCCCATGTTCTAATCCGACTGTTCATCCAAATTCCTTGTAGATTTTATTTAACAAACTAACTTATAGTATGATTAAATAAATAGTTGGTAGAAGTAATACTCTTTTTGTATAATCGCTTTCAAAACAATATACTCCATAAATGTGTTTAATGTATATGTACATTCTACTAATCTAATTTGCCTATAGATAGGAATGTTTAGCTTTTCCAAGTGAATTTTTCTTTAATTTAGATTTTATTATACATAATCTTAGATTGATTAACTTTCTAAGCAATTAATTATGTGTTTTTAACTAAGTAGCTAATAGCTTACCCAGTTAATTTCATTTTCAAACTAGTCAAAGCTTTTAAAAGAAATATAATTATGCTCCATTCAGTACAAAAACCATTGTATGATTCCTGTAGGTTCTACCTAAACTCCCTATTTTTTGCATATGGACCAAAATCTCGGCACATAGTTGGGCTATGGTTGATCCAAAGTAACCTATGAACACTAATAATGTATATCCATTAATATAACATAGACAACCGGCATGCTAGACTCACTAACATAGAGTTAGGTCTAGATATCTATGGATTTGATAAAATACTCCTTCTATTGTCTTCTATTATTTGATCTGGTAGTTCCCCCCTCAGTCGGTGTTGCCATGCTTTTGATTTTTCTACAAAATTGGTAGTTTTTTTTGTAGTTTTAATTTGGTTCTTGGTTTAATTGGTCACAGTTGATTTAAATACTTGTTGTATTGTTATTCGTGTAGCCTCAATTCGTAGGAAAATTTGTAGTTCGCTATAATTTGGCCTAAAAGTATTTAATTAAAAATTGTATAATTGATCCTTTCACATTTTGAAAATTTTCTAGTCAAACTTACCTAGATTCATTGACAAAAATTGACAAAATATGCTCTATTTACAGTAGGTATTTAAAAAAAAAAACTATGTGCATTTTCCAAAATGTAGTTTTTTCTTTTATACTATGCTATGACTAAAATACTTATTAGTAGTTTGTAAAACGTGGCCATATCCAAAATTATTACTTTTGAACATAGCAACACTGACTTCACCCCTTAATTATCTGCAAAACCTTTTATAAACTTGGATTTTCTACTAATTAATTAATTAATAGTTTTAGCTAAGATCACAGAATAGATAAAATAATATTTTTTGGTAGAAAACAAAGTAAATAGTTTTGTCACTGAGGTAACACTGATGCTCAGATGAAATTGGTAGAAATTTGGTTCACGTTGAGGGTAACATTGCTCGGTTAGACAGATTCGTGCTAATATTAAGATAATATAGTTGTCTGACTTGTAATATTTATTATTATTAGTATGTATTCCTGTGGCCGTTTTGATTTTCGCGATTTTTTTTTACTCAAACTTTGATATACTTACTATATTAAGTAATATTTATGTGGTTTACTTAAAACCGGGTACTTACGGGTATGCTCGACCAGTTTCGAGCCTAACCGGAGCTCTTAAACTTAAGAGTGAGTTGCGTGAATTAAAATGTATTCAGTTTACTTATTTCACTTTAAATTTTAATTTTATCGTCCATATAACTAAAAATATTTCTTAAATATTTTGATTTTCGGCTTATTATAATTAATCTAGTATACGAATGTTTTAATATTAAAATATTTCTTTTCATAAGTCAAAATGGTCACAAATTCATCACTAATTCCAACTAGTATACCAGTGAAGGACGCATGATGTACTTAGGTCGACCTGTAGGCGTACCTAGTGTACTGAGTAACGTACTATGTACTACCCTCATTTTATATAACAATGTTTGTGATTTGCGATTATAGCTCTTATTTTGCGGGGTCATAGTGTCTGTATTGTCGTGTTGGAGCGGTGTGGAGATGAAGTCTTATTTTTTTTTTGTTTTATCAAATATATAGGTACAGCGGGATTGTCTCCTTCGTCTTAGGTGTGTGTATTGATGGGCAAATGCCCATTGGTAAATACCAACCACCCCTTAAACTAGCTCTTAACTAAGAGTTCCTTAGCGCGAGGGAGCACCTAAGCTAACTCCTACCTGTACTGTTAGGGTGTCACTTATTAGTTGGTGAAAATCATAGCGTCGTTAAGTGTAACCAACATTTACTTAGCTGTTTCTGAGAAAACAGGTATGGACGTTATAGATAGACTTAATACCCAGACCCGGGACAACCATTTGCGGATCATTAAAATTCTGTACTAGAATTCTACCAATGCAGTTGCCACTGCCCAGACTAATTTTTATTATGATTTTTTGTTGTTTATTAGTAATTATTTCCAGTCATTTAAGTTTACATGAATAAAACAGTATTGTTTAGGAACTATACATTGATTTATCGCCCATAAATTGAAATATAAGAATTAGTTTGACTTTAGACGATTTAGTTTGGTTTGACTTCATCTCTGCACCGTCTTTGTGGACACTGACGGCATCTAACAGCGCCTGTTAGTCAAGAGCGTATATATTATATACCTGCGTAGTGTATTATATACTGAGTCTACTAACTAAAGCATAGCATAGTTACTATGTACCTCACTACTTTCTACCGTACTACTAGACTAGACAATTAATTGGCAACACATCAATCTATTTTCAACTGTAGCAACACTTGTATACGCTCTTGATGAAGTATTATATAACATTAACAGTTGATGTTAAGTTTGTTTGAGAGTTGTAGTCCTCGTGTCACGTACGTATAGGTGTAAGTCACTAAACCCCCGCTCACCTTGTCTTATACAGCGCCGGGATACATGTTCACGACACAGTCTAAGGTGACGTCAAGTGTACATGAAGGTGTATCCCGGCACTGCGTCACGTGATCAGTGAGCTTGGCAGTAACAGTAGCCGCGCGCAGAGATCGCGCGGCTTCGGCTTTATCACGTTCCAGGAGGCGTCCTCCGTGGACAAAGTGCTGGCCGTGCCGGTGCACACGCTCGACGGCAAGCGCATCGATCCCAAGCACGCTACGCCCAAGTCTGCGCCCCGCCCCGCCAAGACCAAGAAGATATTCGTTGGCGGCGTCGGCCAGGATACGTCCGCTGAGGAGGTCAGGTCTTACTTCTCACAGTTCGGCCTCGTTGAGGATGCCGTTATGCTCATGGACCAGCAGACCAAGCGCCACCGCGGCTTCGGTTTTGTCACCTTCCACTCGGAGGAGGCGGTCGAGCGCGTCTGCGACATACACTTCCACACCATCAAGAACAAGAAGGTGGAATGCAAGCGAGCGCAGCCCAAGGAGGCCGTCGCGGCCGCCCCGCTAGCGCTAGGCAAGCGACTCGTGCTGCGGCCCGGGCGCGGGCTGGTGTATGCGGCCAGTGGAGTGGGCGCCGTGCCCGCCGTGGGCGCCGCGCATGCTTACCGCTACGCGCCGTATGCTCTGCCCACGGCTGCTACGGCCGCAACGGCGCTGGTGGCGCCCCCGCAGCCGGCGCCGGCGCCCGCGCTGCCTCAGTTCGGCGCCGCGTACTCGCTAGCCGGCGTGGACATGTCGTCGTTCCAGGGCGTGGACTGGGGCGCCATGTACGGCCTGCCCATGTACATCTAAACGGTAACGAGCAATATTCACATGAAAACCCCACCCGCCTACAGAGGTTAGGTTCTTAGCTCGGCTATTTTATTTCTTACGATAGAGTTCCTACGTACTATTTTTGTTTAATTAAGGTGTTTGTCTTGCCGCGTACTCGCAGTGGCCACAAGAGGGAATGATCAGTATTCGAACGTAGTTAAGATGTTTATTGGCTCATTAAACTTAGTGTAAGGCAGTTACAAGCAATACTTTGCCCGCTACGGGCGTCAAAGAGAACGCATTTCATTTTTTTTTATTAAAAAGTTAATTTATTAAGGCGACTCCCAACGGAGACGCTGCAGTAGGAGACACGGGCCCATGTTTATCGTATTCAGAGTCACTTTGTTTTAGTTTGACGCGATGTGACTCCCAACAATACTAGTAAAGATGTCGTCGTCTGTCCGACAGCTCGCGTCGTTGCGTGTCCCCTTAACTTTTAAATATTAAGGCGAAGATCTCAAATAATTTAGTTGCGATAAAAAAAAAAACTAATTTTTTTCTTATATTTTGTCTTTGATATTTTGTAATTTAGTGGTAGACATAGTGCACGTTTGTTTGGCAATACATTAACCTGATATTATTTATGATGACTCGACTGTATTTTATGAATCTCATACGCAGCTGTATTTTTATGGTAAATGATATAAGAATTAATATATACCTCTCTATATATACATTCGCGGTAAGAATGACGCTGTGTGACTGCGCTAACTCTCAATTATTCTTACTCTAAAGTAAAATTTTACATCTACCTTCAAATTAAAAACAAAATTAGACAATTCTATTGGATTACTCTCATTCGTCCCGTATTCAAGTGCGGGGCTGTAGATAAATAAATTAAAAACTATAAATTAGGCTAAAAAAATTAAAAACAAATAATTAAAAAAGAAATGGTAGAAAATGTCAGTATTATTATTAACGGTGCCATTTCGTTAGGAACATACGTTTGTGCCAAATTTCGCTCAGTTTTGTGTTTAGAAACTCTTTTTTAATTAAGCTTATTATGAGGAATGACAGCATCTGTCAACTTTGACATATGTCACTGTCTTAAAGCTGGTTTGTGACGTCACAAGGTAGTCCCGCCAAGCGTTACGTCACACGGCGTCGACCGCTCTGCTCACGACTCTCATACATATCGTACGAGCGGAAAAGCAATCTCATTCTACAATAGTATTATAAATTGACATACGTAGATATAGTACTTATGTCATCCTCGTACATTTTGTCCTTTTTAAAAGGCAGCTATGACAAAATAAAACGATAACCTTAAAAATGTACTAAATATATCCAGAATTAAAGCAATATTTTCTAACAAATTTTGGATTTTAAAAGGACAAAATGTACAAGAATGACAGAGTAAATTAGTTTACATATAATTAATTTAGTTTAGCGTGTATGAGTGTGCGACTAACACCTGTGTAACGTGACAATAAGCTAAGTATAAAAGCCGCTGTAGATTGTCATGGCCGCGCGACCTTGCCAAATGTCCTATATTTTACCCTTAGAAATAAAATCTTGATTTTTGAAGTCTGCTGAGGCCCACGTTGGGCGCCAATTTGTTGGGTATTGTCTTGGTAGATTTTTATAATTAGTAGACTATTTTGAATGGTTTCTGGGTTTTTTAATTGTGATAGAGAAGCAAAGTTGTTTAAAATGTCTTCAATATTAGTCACTTGTCAAATGTAAAGTCGCCTGCAAAGTAATTAAGTATACAGGTAAAAAAATAAAGACTGATTCAATACAGTGACAGTAGCCATTGTTATACTAAATAGGCTATTTTCCTTAATTTTACTTTAATGTCCGTCTGGTACATTATTTAACTACCTCCCACTCCTAAACTTAACTCCATTTTGTCTGCGTATTGTAACTTTATACGAGAAAATAAAAAAATACGTGTCTAATACTTTTTCATTATCTAACTGACGGACTAATTAGATTTTTAATTTTCTTACCCTGGAAATTACCCAATTTTATGGGTGTTAGTGAAGGCCATCATCTTCTGTAACTCAGTAGCCAACCAATAGATACTGCCTCTGTACTGAATCACTCTTCATTCCCTTACCTGCAGACTAAAAACTTGTCCGAGTCCTTAAAAAGTTCTCCAAAAGAGTCGATATCTCTTCTCCCAAGACAATATCCAACAAATATTCTCAGAAATTTTACGTCCTTATTATAGAAAGTACTTAATTTATCAAAACGTAGCTTTAGACCCAAAAGCAATAAAATGTGATTAGTGTGTGTAAAAGACAAAGATGGTTGTGTTTGTGCAATTCCTAGGTTTAAGCGGTGAACTGGACTTAGTCCTTAGACCAGCAGTATTAAAAACCCACGACGTGATTTTTCCACATTGTTTGGTCCTCCTCTAACTCCGTTTTCAAACAAAATCTATACACTTTTCTCGAAATACATACTTAAATATTATGTTTTTCGGCTTTCACGCGTAATTATTTGACGAGGAACTCGACTAGTTTCAAGCTGGCGCGGTGACTGTCGTTCTGCTAATGCCCGCGTGCCGCGTCGCGGGACGTGGAATGCTGCCTTTAGCATGGCTTGAAACTAGTCGAGTTCCTCGTAAAATAATTACATGACTAAGCCGAAAACATAAAACTTAATTAATTTAGTATGTCTCACAAAAGTCATAATATAAATATACTTAAATATGTCCCTAATTGTAATGTTGTACTTAAAATATTTACTCAAGAATACCATTGATGTCTCGTACTTATTCTCGGGAGTATCCCAAAAAATATCAAAATAAAAAGCGGAGAATTTCGTGTAACGTCTATTACTAAAGTACTTAAATTCCCTATACATATTTATATTAGCGTATATTTTGGACGCAGGCGAGGCCGCGCGGCAGGCGTAGTGCAGTATGCATGGTAGCTTGGTCGGCTATATTCCTTACCAGCCGACGCACTTGTAACCGAAGCGTGTGGAAATTTTAAGATAAAAATATGAGGGTAGTTGGGTATTTAGTGGTCCCATGCTGGGCGCCAATAGCCAATATGTTGACTGCACTCTTCATACAGGCTAAACTTGTTCTATTTATTGTTTGGTCAATGATATTATTATGTATTTGTTATTTATTTATTTTTACTTTGTGTTGTATTATATTACTATGTCTATCGAGATAGTTTCCACACGCCACGGCTACCGTATGCTATGATATTCACATTATGTATACACATACCTATCCTTATATAGCAGTATTCTAGCATAAGTAGGATTAGAAACCTCCTGAGATTAATCGGCATGGCACGCGCTCTCTCCTTTATTACTATAACCAGATTGTGGCGGTCTAAACCGCTTTTTTACACACAGACACCAAATGTTTTATTGTGAATAAACTCTTGAGTAACTAACATGGTCAGGAATTGATTTTGATAATTGTATTGATTGTTTATTACTACTGGTAGTTTGACAGCGCGTGCCTGCGTCACCCGACAGATACACCTCTTGTACATTAGCGGTCGATTCCTGATACACCAGTAGAATGGTTGAATATGTGATGTGACAGCCGCGTGCTTCGTATCTTGCCAAATTAGATAGAGGGCGGCCAGTGTGGGGACGCGAAGGAGCGACCAACGAGACTGCGGCCTCTCGCCCTATGTAACTCTATGTACATTGTAGTAGTTGCCACTAAACCGCATGCGCAGATCATCCTCTACATCTCTCTGCCTGTCACACGTTGCGTCCACTTCCCCCGCGCCCTCACACGAACGTTGTAATGTACTTAACTTTGTTTTCATATATTGTACTGTTCCGACTTCCCTACGGGTGGATCCAGCACCCTTTGGTAACTGGTCGCCGACGTCCGTCGCTTGGGGCCGAGTGATGACACTGGCGTACCGTGTCATGGTGTGACGTTTGCTTTGTGGGTAGTGGAAGACGGAGCGGTGACGTCACTCGGCCGCCGCGGACCTCGGCTGTAGGCTTAGTGTAGAGTTAGAAGGAGTTTGCCCGCTGTAAGATGGAGCACTTAGTAAACTGATGTGTCATTACATGGATATAATATTAGAAATTAAAATTGTGTGTTTTATTTAGCGTGGGACTTCCTGCTGGGTTTGGTTTGTTGTATTTTACACTACTTTTTATCTTTCTAGATAGTTTGCACGTTGAACTTGTAGTATTTAGTTATGGGGTTGCCATCTACACTTGGCTTTAAAACTGTGATTAATTACATTTTAATGTTAGGGCGATCCCGACAGGCACTCTATGGACATTGTAAGCTATCTACTAATAAGTTGGCAACCCTAGCGTGCGAATACGGCTCGCCATATAAGCCTCGGTCGGCATAGGAGGGTGGGACTCCGGACTGGAATGGTAAGTGCCGCGAGTCGCGACCAGCATGCGTGTACTATACTCGTGACTAACTCAAGACTTGACGGAGAGAGATAGCATGGTTGGCATGAATGATACGTAAACAATGTAATCTTCCATACAATATACTTCACTGTCAATTTATTAAGGCGTTTGCCACACGTTGGTTGTGATGCGTGCTATTAAACATATTCCTTTTAAAGCGTAACTTTAAAAGGAATATTGTATACGTAGACACGTAGTTTAGACCTATAGACGCTTCGCTTCGGGCCCACAGGTCTTCCTGGTAACGACGATTGTTTTGCCAAAAGAAACAGGCCAAAATTTTTAGCCAAAATGTTAATTTTGCTCAACGTTGCGAGGTCGCAGTCGTGTGCACAGTGCAAGGACTCGCGACAAGGGATTAAATATTTTGCCAAAATAAACAAAAAGGAAATATGCCAGAGTAGCTTAAGAACGTGACAATAATAAGACGGGACGTTGCCAACTAGGACGCTGTTACTACTTATCTCTCGGTTGCCATATACGTCAATACATTCCTCTCTAGTCATTTTTTTTATTTATTTTTCTTAAAAATTTGGCGGGAAACTGATATACAGAGTCTTATCTTGCTCAATACTTATTCTTGCCTAGTTGTAGTTAATTTCTATCGATAATAAGCTTGACGCAGTAGTGATGTGCCATACACCAGATATGCCATAGCACGCAAACGATAAACTAGTGATGTGCTTGTTCGCTCCAGGCTCACTGGACCAAATGTAAACAGCATTGGAAAAAATATATTATATATTCTTAATTATGTAAGATTACTAAGATATACATAAATATACAATTTTTGGATTGGTATAATGTTAAATTGAAGATAAAGATACTATGTTGTGTGTTTTTAATGTATGGCAATGCTAGAGTAGTGTTGTAGCGTAGACATTTTGAAGTTTTACATACATATGATAAATATGACTAACCGAAAGCAATAACATTTAATATTACTACAGCACGCGCGCGCTGCGGCTTGCACGAGGACTCTAGTGGAACTAATAAGATGGTACGTGTGTCGATTGATGTTGCCATACTAAAAAAACAAAAACCTACTAACTTTCTCAAATAAACTAAATAATCTATAGAAAAATACATTTTTATACGCAAAAGAAATCTCTAAAAGAGTTATCTAAACATCAATACGACACACAGTTAATAAAAAATTAAAGATTTAAGTATAATGCACTTGGCTAAGTATTGACTGGGCACGGCAGCGCGCGCAACGTTAGAATTATTATAATTATACACACATGCATACAAATACAAATATTTTTGTATAATTAGGTATCTGTGTATCGTAGAGTGTTGGTTAAACTTGTACTTTTTAATGGTAAGCGATAAACGACGGGTGGCATGTGCTTATTGGACGACGTCACTGATACAGTACTGTTGTGAGCTTGAATTCATAGCCAAAATCAATTATTTCAATGAGTGATTCCTAAGCCCCCAATAGACCGGCCCCGCATTTGCAACTTCTCTGGTTATGCGGGTGTCCGTGGTCCTCAAATCTAACCATCAGATGAACTGTCTGCTCTTTTGCCCCCATATCCCATAAAAAGGGAGTTCGCGCCATAGGAGGCGCTAATAACTTCTATTTAGTAAATAGAATATTTGCTAAAGCCAAGTTTGTCAACTTGTGACAGCTATGCTGGTAGGACTAATGGGCCCTTACGCATGTAGAGCCATCTCCTGAATATAAAATCAGAACTCATTGTCCTAAAGAGGCATTTCTAAACATTATCTGTGTCATTCTGTCTGTCCTTTAGTGAAGATATTACCTCGTTTCAAAGATTAGAAGTGAAGAAAGTGGATGCAAAAGAAACTCCATGGTTACTCTTTTTCAATCAGTTTCAAAAAATGTTATAACTTAAAATATCTGAAAGATAATAAAAGTACCCAATATACATCTCTAGGTTCCTCTTTAGAGCGAAGTTTTCAATTCGTTGAAATCATTTCCTGTTACGTCGATATCCAATTACTGAAAGTTCAACATAAAAAGGCTCCACAAATTACGGTTTCGAAGATTGCCTCCTAATTGGAATTTTCTAATTAAATCTCAATGACATTTTGTTTCTGAACGCCTTTTCCTGGTATTTATAATATAATTTTGACCTACTTCCTTTGTAGTGCCCGATGAATAGCAAAAAATATTTGGATAAAAAATGAAATTAAGTAATTTTGGGTGTACACGTCATACACGCACGCTTTTGTCAAACGGGGTATTTGACTAGTTTCAAGCCGTGCTAGGCTCATATTCATAAGCTTCCTTCACATCCATACAATTTAGTGGTCATAATTTTCTTATTCAAGAAACTTAGTGTTTTATACCAGTGACGTCATCCGACACAGGCGACGCGTAAATGTCGTCAAACCGATATTATTACATTGTTGAATAAGCGACAGAATGTGACGCAATGTTTATTGTGTAGGGCGCTCGCGCCGACGCTTGAGCGCGTGCGGCCATGTTTCTTTAAATGTCAAAGTTTTTTTTTTA